TGCTGCTTTTGAAAGAGGCAGCAGCTGCAGCGGGGATAGAGGGGAGGAGAGAGGGAACAGGCAGCACCGAGGAGATAGTGGTGGGGTGAACTGGCTTTTAAGCCAGCTCTCCCCAACACCAGCTATTCCTCCCCACTTGCTGCCTCTCATACAGAGGCAGCAAGGGGGAGGGGGAGAAGCGAGTAGTGGAGTACTCGACTTGACTACTTGCTTATATCCCTAGTCTCTATATCTAAACAAAACGTGTTCAAAATTTTACACCTTTGAAGATAGTGCAGCAATAGTATACACAAGGTTTAAAAAAAAAAAAAGCTGACTAGAAAAAATTAGTGTGTCCCCTATTTTTATTGCTGTGTTAGACTATGTAAAGGCCAAGAAAAGAGTATAAATGGAGAATTAGTAGCATTCTGATAGCACAATAATTCAGATAGAGGAAGTTGAACGGAGTTTTCAGTCAGATATAGAACATGTTGCTTCATTTTGGTATTACCTCTTAACTCCAATGATTAGCAGACATTTTGGATAAAGGAGGTTGTGTTAAAGATTCCACTCACCTGCCCTCTGTTAAATTGTAAGATCTAAAGTCCTCCCTCAAATCTTTATATTCCTGAAATTACTAACTTTAAAAAAAATCTGTGGGGCCTTCTTGTACAATGTATAAACCCAATTTAAAAAACAAACCAGTTTTTTTTTTCAGGTCAGCTTTAACCTTCTCCATTGTAAATCTTCTCTGATCCCTGGACAGTTATTTCTGTTCCTTATGTAAAGTTCCTCACACCATGTGTCTTTGAACGTGTGACTTTTAGAGTTCTGCCTGCACAGCCAAGTGCGTTTCTCTCTTCCTTTTGAAGGAAGTGTAACCAGCCCCCTCCATATACACAAACACACAAATCAGTACATCAGTGGGACACTGGATGATAATGAAAGTCAGGAAATGCCAAGATGCACTCTCCATGAGGCCCTTATGCAAAGGCCAAGTACTGGTTGCTGTGAGAATGGTCACTTGACATTTCATAACCGTGTTACACATAAACTTAATGTACACTTAACATAGTGGGTATTGCAGCAAAGTGTCTTAGATTATTTGTTAGTGGCTGGTTTTGGACTGGTCCCTAAGTAGAGACTGGGAATAAAATGACTGTAAATACATCCGTGCCTGGAAAAAATAAGGGGTAAGGTGGAGGAGAGTTTGCCTCCCGTTATGCTCCTTCTCTGAGACATTGTTATTCTTTAGCCAGATGGGGAGTAAAAACTTGCTTAATCTGTTTTCTTCTTAACTAGAGATGCACATACTAGGGGGATCTTATTGCGGTCTGTATAGAAAGTGTTCTGGCTTGTCTCACAGCTGTAGCGATTGTAATATTCAGATGCTAAGATGAAGGGGGAAACTTTCCCATTAAGGGACTGTTGCTGTGTAAGGATGAAGAAATATGTGCTTTGTTTGAGGAATGTTGAATTTCCTATAAGAATGTGAAGGGACACTAGCTGGTTTAAAACAAATAAATACATGTTGTTACCTGTGTGACTCAGGGCCTATTAAAACACAGAACTTTACACAAAACCTCATTTGCTTAGGCTGTCAATTTACTTGTATGGTGAAAATAGTCAGTTTCACTCTTGAGTCTCATGCAGTGTCAGAACGAGACTGCCAACATTTAAATTAAAAATCTTTATTGAATGGGACATACCTTGTAGTAATGCTGCACTTTCTAATGGAATAGCTGTGTTTATCTAAGGGCTTGCCATTCCCATGTAAAAGCATATGAAGCAGGAATCCATTTGGAGGTAAAATAAAATTCACATCTGAATCCAGAACACTTAAAAATCTACTAATGTAAAATTGAGAATGAAATGACGACTCTTGCTGGTGCTGAGTTTTGCAGTTCCCAGCTGAGAGCTATAGAACTTTGAAGCAAAATATATATCTTGATGGCCTGTGTTTTCTCTCCCTCTAGTATGCCACTACTGGCTGTTCCCTGACACTCCACCATACAGAAAAGCCGGAGCACGAAGACATCTGTGAATACCGTCCTTACTCCTGTCCATGTCCTGGTGCCTCCTGTAAATGGCAGGGCTCTTTGGAAGCTGTGATGTCCCACCTCATGCACGCTCACAAAAGCATTACCACCCTTCAGGGAGAAGACATAGTCTTTCTTGCCACGGACATTAACCTGCCAGGAGCCGTCGATTGGGTCATGATGCAGTCTTGCTTTGGCCACCACTTCATGCTGGTGTTGGAGAAACAGGAGAAGTATGAGGGTCATCAGCAGTTTTTTGCAATTGTGTTGCTCATTGGCACTCGCAAACAAGCAGAGAACTTTGCGTACCGACTGGAACTGAATGGTAACCGACGCAGGCTGACCTGGGAGGCAACACCCCGCTCCATTCATGATGGGGTGGCTGCTGCCATCATGAACAGTGACTGTCTAGTTTTTGATACAGCTATAGCACATCTTTTTGCAGACAATGGAAACCTTGGCATCAATGTGACTATTTCTACGTGTTGTCCGTGATTATATCTGTGTAGTTAGCGAACCTGAGGGTTGTCTGGGCATAGTGCTTTACATTCTTAAGGGATTTTTAAAAATGATATTCAGCTATGTCTTCTTATTTATCTCTTAGGATTCCTATTTAGCCAACATTTTGTAACAACTTTCTCTTTGGGTTTTAAGTCATGGCTAACTAGACAAGATGACTGAGTGTGTCCTGTCCATCTAAATGGGGAGACTGTTTTAAAAAAATAATTTTTGGATGCTTTTTGAAGATTTTTATCACTTTTTAAAAAAAAATACAGAACTTCCATTAGACATAACAACTTTAGTAGACTTGAGAGTCTGTTTTTCTCTTTGAAGTGCACCCTAAGCTCCCCTCAAGAAGTGTTTACAAGGGAATAACAGACACCTCTTGACTTACTTCCCTTTCTAGGCTCTTTAAAAAGAGAATAAACAAATAGCTTGAAGTGAAATACCCATCAGAAGTTATTGTGACTCAGAGGAATGAAAGTTACTTTGGTGAAGGTTTCCTTGCTGCTCTGTTTCCCTCTTTATTTAAAAATAGAAATAGAAAGCAGTGGTGTTGGCTCACTGGCTGTGTTTATAAAAATGAACCAGGCCTGATCACCAACCTGTTGAGCAGCTTCTGCTCCCATTCACTTCACTTAAAGTTGAGCATGCCAGGAACATTTTTAAAGGGCCCAAGATCAGGCACTGGCAAAGCAAGAGAAACGTATGTGATAGTTCTCAAACAGCTAGGAGCTGATCATATAGACGTGCAGTCAGGTTGTTTACATGTGGCTTTCCCTGGAGACATACTTGATTATTGATATTGTAAGAGACATATTAGATTAATATAGTAAAAGCTTTATGGCCAGTGTCCTGTCATTTGCTATTTAAGTTTTTGTTGCCATATTTACTTTAGTTTTTTAATAAATATTTTGCAAAAACATTATGTGGCGTGCTTAATGGTGGAGATACCCACATTAAGTTTAATTGTGTGAATTTATTGTGGCAGCTGTTTTTAGGTTGTTTCATGCTGTACCTGTAAATTTTCCTTTGTGCTACTGGCAACTGAGATCACAGTCTCATTCCTAGCAGTCATTTACATCAGCTTTTTAACTAAATCAAATCAAAAGAAAGGATACCACATTATGGATGGATTCTGTAAGCTCTCTACATGCAGAATTTCCATAGACACCAGTGGGAGTTCCGTGTGTAGACGATTTGCAGGGCTGGGACTACAGTTTTATTATTCAGTTATGCTAGTATAGAAAAATCAATGAAAATAAGCAGATCTGGGTCTTCACACATTGCTTCTTCCTCCAGAAAGGAGCTGAGATCTATTACATCACCCTCTGACAATAGAAGAACTCTGATTTCCATCTAACAACATAGCTGTGTCTGTGACCATATTGAACACATGCTCTGTGCTCCAAAATGGAAGAAGAATCTGATATTCCAGGCAAAATGTTTCCTTCCTTTCTGTTATCTAGTTCATTGTGGGTGAGGTTCCTGTACAATCTCTTGTGGATGCAACATAGCACTCCCAAAAACTTGTATACATTATAATCTACCAAAACCAACAATAGGACATGTTTTCTGAGATCATGCAAAGAACTCCCTGGAACTATTATCTGATGATGTCAGAGTTCAAGGTCCTACTGATAGATCTCACACTAACATAAATACAATGATTTAAATTGAGAAAGCTGGTTTAAACTGGTGTTGCAAGATCAGACTCAGGCTCTGGGTCATCAAAAGTAATGCCTGTGCTCTTAGCAGGACCAGTTAAAGCAGAATACCAAAAAGGAATTCACATTCCAATAGCCTAGCAAATGCCTACAATGAGAAATGACTTTTTCAACTTAAAGTATGAATTTACTGCAGCAGGCCCTCAATGCAAGCATGACAGAATCACAACAATAATTTAAACCAGGGCTACTCAACTTTGGAAGCCACAATGATACTCACAGCACATGTAAGGACCGCAACTTAAGTGTGATTGCATATATATGCAAATAGCTTCTTTCACACTCACAGGCACGAATACAAAGATTAAGGCAAGTCTAAACAACATGCAGGCCCCATTTAAGTCAGTTCTGCTGATATGAATAAAATGCAATATTTACCTGATTTCCACCCATATGACAACACTTTTAATGAGCAATGACAGTCCAGGAATTTAACTACTAAAATGCATCTCAACTGAAGACCATTATATTGATTACCTTTTTATTTTGTTTCCCCACCAGCAGGTCGCATGTTGAGCCCTACGTAAATCCAAACTGCACCGTGGGCGGCAAACAAAGGGCTGCGAGCCACATGTAGCCCCTAGGCCGCATGTTGAGTAGCCCTGATTTAAACAACTAAAATGTAAAATGAAAACTAAGTCCTGGTTTGTAACTGTAATCATGAATCCAGATTAATACCCCTAACATTGTAAGTCACACTGCACAATTCACGTTGGATGATTTAACACCTATGTTAGGAGAAAATAGGATTCACTGGAATTAAGTGTCATTTATTCAGACCTTATTACATAGTTAAGTCCTTAGACCAGGCCTGGGCAAAATACGGCCTGCCAAGCCACCAGATCCAGCCCACAGAGGCCCAGGCAGGCTCCCTTGCTTGCCCCTTAGCCCTGCATGCTCTCAGAAATGCAGTTGCTGGGCCCTGTTTCTATTTCAAAACTGAACTGGAGAGGGGAAAGCTTCAGGAACTGCCCCCACCCCCAGCACAATCCCATTGGCCAGTTTCTGGCCAGAAACTAGCCAGTGGGAGCTGCCTGTTTGAATAACAGGCAGCAAGAACCACCACACCCCTTTTCGCTGGTTTAGTTATTCACTGAAGCATCGGGTCCAGGCAAGCAGGCTGGGAAACATTTAAAGCTCTGCTAGCCTTTACCTCGGCAGGCAAACAGGCTGGTTTGGCTGCTGGCTGGTAAGTCTCCTGCCAGAGCCTCCCTCTGGCACCCCAGCCCCTCTGCCCCCACAATCAACATACCCAAACCCTCTGCTCCCCTCTTACACCCATACCTCCTCCCAGATCTGGCACCCCAATCACCTGCCCCATATCACAATCCCCTCCTATTCTAGGTCACATCCCAAACCCCTGTACTCCAGTCCCCGCCCTAGGTCACAACCGCCTCCTCTACCCAAACTCCCTCCCCAACTCCCTTTTCCCTCCTGCACCCCAGTCCCTTACCCCAAGTTCTCTTTTGCACCCAACCTCTATTCCACATCCCACATCTCCACTAATATCATGGAAGAGTGCAGCCCTCAACCACTTTCCAAAATCTTGGAAAATTATTTCCCATAAAAAATTATTACCCAACCCTGCCTCAGACATAATATATTAGGTTAAGTTAATAGAGAAGATCCTTTTACTCTGGATTTTACAGTGCCTAGTTTTGATGTTTTACTGTATCTTATTATTTTGAACACAGAAGATATAAAGCCTGGTGCCAAGAAGCTAGATGTGTTACCCATTTAGACAAACTCAGGTAGCTGATACTTGATCCAAAAATCAGATTAACTTCTTAAAGAAGCAACCCTAAACATATTCTTGGAGACAGTCTCACCAGTGTGACTTTCCAATGGCTATGACCGCCTCACCAGAGAAGAGAAAATATCACAGGGCCAAGGTATATTGGATACAAAAAACAAGTGAACTTTTTATCAGAGAAGTGACCAATCAGAAGAGAAGCCATGTAATATAGAATTGGTAACATGTCACAGAATCACATCTTACAACATCTCTAATCATATTTCTTGTCTGTCCAACGTTTTGACAACTGACTGAGAAACACATACTGTACCAACAGAACTGATCATACTTGTTCTCAGCATGGCATATTCTTAGAGTGTAATTAATTCCAGCAACAAAAGGTATACCAGTAACAGAATAATTATCTGCTTATGAAGCTTTTTCTTTGCAGAGTTTCTTAACCTTCACTCTGCTGGCAACTCTCCCTGAAATGGAATTATTTACATTGAAAAGATTGTGGGGAAAGTCATTTTAGGCTATCTATTCCTTGGTTCCCCTCTCTTTAAATAGGAATAATGCTCGTATATTTTTGTTATGGGGCTTATGTAGTATTTGTAAAAATTGATAGTCATATGAAAGGTGCATCTTAAAAGCAAATGGCTAACTTTTATAAACTGATATTAAAACAGTCAAATTACAAATATACTTACATTTCCAAACCACATATTTTAAGAGTAGTTTTCATTTACTTACTTGCCAAGTTCTGAATTCAGGATCTTTGTTACAGAGCTGATCCTATCGCAGCCACCTAAAATAGTAGATAAAGAGGTGTCAGGCTGCTGTAATAACACATACATTTGTTTAAAACTTTTTATATGATGTTTTTATTTGTAACAAGTTTCAACATATATAAAGTGTCTTTTATTTAGCATGTATATGAGGATGTCTTTACTGCATTGTTAGATTGAATTATAAATGGAGTTTTGTATCAACCCATTTCCTGTCCACACACAAATTTGCAATTTAAGAGATGTAAGATCCAGCAAGCTGGTCTACTGAAGAGG